AGGACTTTTTTTCTTAGTTTTTTACTCCTCTACACGCTCCCGAAGTTTTGCGATTTAATTTGGAAACACCATATATATTTTCATTTTGTATAAACATATTTTTTATATTGACTTATAGAAAATATATTCGCTTGTTGTATAAAATATATATATATATATATACGTTCCATACAAAGATATTATTTATTATATAGTAAAATATTCAGCAGAAATTTTATTTTTCGATATAAAAGTTCAATTTAAAATTTATATATACATGTATATAAGAAATATATTTTCCTATACAACATTTATTATTGTTCTATGTATCTAATATTTGTATTTTTTGAAAAGCATTGCTAAGTGCACTATTTTGTTAACGTAAATTGTTAAATTGTTACAACAGACATACATGTACGAAAAAGTAATCAGTATGGCGTAAAAATTTAAGTGAAAAAATTCTAGAACAATCGGATTAAGGGTTGATCGAAAAATATCTTAACAAATTTACTATCACATGCCCTACATATATGACGATGAGAATTTTATGTAACAAATTCCTTTGTATATAATAAAATATATGTATTATATTGAATCAAATTGTTTATAAATGTGATTTCTTTCACTTTTTAAAAGCGAATCGTTTTTAAAATATACAATAATAGCTAACATAATAGGTCCATTCTTTATTCCTGCACTGTCTGAACTGGTGCACTCACAATCAATGCAATAAGTTGAAGCGATACAAACGTATATTTGTTTCATTTCAACTTATTGCACCGTGTGCACCGGTTCAGATAATGCAGGAATAAAGAATAGATCTATCGTTAAAAGATGATTATATTGTAATAGAAAAAAAACAAAAATTAAACATTGTTACAAATCGATATTATATTAAGAATTAATGTATATGAATTTTCTGGAAATTCCTGGTACATTTTTCTATAAATAAACAAGGCACAATAACTTTTTGATTAAGTAGGCCATTGTGCGTATTGAAAACAGAAAATCTTTTTAGATTTCTACTATAACTGATGAAATGTCAATAATTTTTGAATTAATAAATTAATAACTAAATTTCGATGGATTGACAGGCAAGGTAAAATTAGGATGAGAAATGTTAAAATTAATTGTTTTAAAAAACAACATTCATTAGTTCTTTATACAATCGAAAGACCTTGTTTAAATAATTGTGGCATATAAAATACATGTAAAATAAATTACAAAATATAATATTTGAATCGAGAACTTTAATCTATGTCTATAATTATACGACTTTTGGTGCATCCTACATAATGAATCGATGTTGAATCTTGTGTGTAATATATATATATATATATAGTGTCCAAAAACTGACGATATTTTATAAATAGATTTTGTAACATTTTAAGATGAAAAGTCTACAAAATGTCGAGGCGATGATAGTTTTTAAATGGGAAGAGTTTAAAAAATATGAATGACGGGGCTAGAAAGGGCGTTTCGCGCGCTCAGTAATGGTGTTTTCTCGGACTAATAACAAAATTCAGCATCTTCACACTAACCATCTTGCATCCCTGAGCGCGTAAAATTCTAGTCCCGTCATTCGTAATTTTTAATCTTCCCATTTGTCATAGCCTCGACATTTTTGTATTAGACTTTTCGTTTTAAAATGTTTTACAAAGGATCTGTCTTTAAAATATTTATTGTTATTATTATGGTATACTCTGTATATATATGTATATAGACACACGTTTTTCTATGAATAAAATATTATTATCACCACTTTTCCAGGCTGTTTCGATATTCACTGCTTGTGTTGAAAACTGTAGTGCGCGCGCGTGTAACATATGCTATAGATTTTCGGTGGTAGTGAATATCGAAACGCAGCCCAAAAATAACGTTGAATATCGAAAAATCAAAAAAGAGA